ACTTGTTATCCAAGAAACATGATACAGACTAAAACACAGTTTAACACTTGGGTCACTCCAAATGTTACCCAAGGTAACTGGGGGGTCCCCATCATCCCCCTCAATACTCCAACTGCTACCTGCAACCCGACGACCCTTTCAAATATTTCCCCAATCATCCATTCACTAATATTCAATTTTTCAATATACCAGGAAACAACTGGTGCCATACAAAAGGAGGGCATGCCCTGTTTCCTCCAACTCTACTCTGTTTTGACAGAGTTCCATGATAGATACTGCTTCTGCATTTCTGTGAAAGCCAGACTTCGAAGACCCAGGAGGGAAATGTGCAGAAACATGAGCGAGAAAATCTTTGATTGTCGCGACAAGGTGAATACTACTGCTGCTGTTCGGAAGATCTGGACCAGTGAGTCATTAAAGAGGGAAGTGAGCAAAAGTACAAGTGTCACACACACACACAAAGAACATGAAACATGTTTGTATATGTTTCCAGCAGGATATAACACTTTGGAAAATAAAAAGTTTATAGAAACAAAGAGGTTTGGAGCAAGAGTAAGCCTTTCAAGTTGAGCCTGGTGCATGAGAACATTCAGGTCTCGTTGAACATTCCCTTCCCTCAATTCACAGCCAATTAAAAATCTTCCTTCCTATTTTGGCTACCAAACTGGATAACCTCATATTTATCCACATTATACTGCATCTGCCATGCATTTGCCCACTCACTCAGCTGGTCCAAATCACACTGCAATGTCTCTGCAACTTCCTCATAGCTCACCCTTCCTCTCAGCTTTGTGTCTTCTGCAAATTTTGAGATATTACATTTAGTTCTCTCACCTAAATTATTAACATATACTGCGATTATCTGGAGTCCGAAAAGCAATGCCTGTACCCCACTAGTCACTGCCTGCCATTCAAAAAAATACCCATTTAGTCTTACTGTTTGTTTCATGTCTGCTAACGAATTTTCCATCTATCTCAATACACTATCCCCAGTCCCACACACTTTAATTTTATGCATTAATCTCTTATGTGGGACTTCATTGAAAGCCTTCCGAAAGTCCAAATAAACCACATTCACCAGCTTGCCTGATCAACTCTGTTTTCATCTTCTTAATTAAACCTTGGCCCTCTTCCTGATTTCTAAACTGTCTCCAATCTCAGGTCAGTGGATTTTTTCTTGCTAATTTTTATGTCTCTTTATTGCATCAGATAGGATCTCTAAATTTCCCTCAGAAGCTACTGTTCTCTTTGCACTCATGCCAGACAGAAATGAACAATTTTAATAGTTCACCCATTTGTTCGATGTTTGCCATTGCCGATCCATCATCATTTCTTTCACTAACGTCTCCGAATCCAACATAGCCAACTCCCACTTTATACCATTGTAGTTTTCCTAGTTAAGATTCAACATTCTAGTCTCAGCATCAATTACCTCAGTCTTCACCTTGAAGAATTCGATCATATTATGATCACTCATCCCCAAGGGTTCTCTCACAACTACATTACCAATTATTCCTTTCTCATTGCATAATACCCAGTTTAAGATGGCCTGTTCTCTAGTTGGCTCCTCAATGTATTGGACCGGAAAACCATCCTGTTTACACTCTAGGGATTCCTCCTCTATGGTAGTGTGATTAATCTGATTTTTCCAATCTATACGCAGATTAAAGTCAATCATAATTACAAATGTTCTTTTACCTCTTGAAACACAGATTTTCTGTTTAATGTCATATCCAACATCACCACTACAGTTTGATGGTCTATATACCACCTCCACTCGTGATTTTTGTCCCTTGGTGTTTCTCAAGTCTACCCACACAGGTTCTACATTGTCTGAGCTAATATCTTTCCTCAATATTGGGTTTATATCCTCCTTAATTAGTAATGGAACTCCACATCTTTTCTTTTTTGTCTGTCCTTTCTAAAAGAACAGAATTAGAGGACACATGTTCCCAGGTACCTAGTTTTTGAACGGAACCATCTTTCATTATAGAGCAGTTTACAAGATCAAGAGTACCTCAAAGTCCTTCACAATGGAAACAGATGGAACAGTGGAACATGACTGACCCAAGGATAGAAAGTCGAGGGAAACTGACCAAAAGCTTGGTTGAGAAATGGATTTTGAACAGATTTTTAAGTATGATCAAGAAATGGAAGCATAGAGGATTTTTTTTTCTCTCTGCCTCCATTTTTGATTATGGGTGTCACTTTGGCAGCTTTCCAATCCTCTGGGACTTTTCCCAAATCTGAAGATTCTTGGAAGATTACTACCAAAGCATCCACCATCTATGCAGCTATTTCTTTTACAATCCTAGGATGCAACTGATCCAGTCCAGAGGACTTATCAGTCTTTAGCCCCATTAGTTTCTCAATTACCTTTCCCCCAATGATATCGTGCTTGTTTTCCATGCCCTCTTGCCCCTTGATTAATAATATTCTAAAAATACTGAGTAATATAGTCTACTGTGAAGCCTAATGCAAAGTAATTATTCAACTCCTCTGCCATTTCCTGATTTCGTCATTTTATTTCCCAGCCTCATTTTCTAAGGGGCCTATGCTCTCTTTTGCCTCTCTTTACATATTTAAAAATGGTCTTGCTATTCATTTTTTATCACTCACTAGTTTACACTCAATTTATTTTCTCTCTTCTTTGTAGAAATTTTTGGTTGGTTAAAACTTTCCCAATCCTCTGTTTTATCACTAATTTTTGCCACATTGCTTGTTTTACCTTTCAATTTGATACTATCCTCAACTTCCTTAGATAACCACAGTCAGTTTATCCCTTTCCTAGTTTCCTTCTCTCTTGCTCAATGCATCTTTGCTGTGAGTCATGAATTTTATTCTTAAATATCTGTCGTTGTTGCACAACTGTCTTTTCTGCTAAACTCCTTTTTCCAGTCCAGTCCAACCAATTCAGCTCTCATCCTTATGTAATTCCCTTATTTTAAGTTTAGCACCATTGTTTCCAAACCAATTTTCTCACTCACAAACTGTATGCTAAATTTTGCCACTGTTATGGTCACTGTTCCTTAGGAGATCTCGAGCTCTGAGACCATTTAGTAAACCTGCCTCATTGCATGTTATGAGATCCAAATCGACTGATCCCTGGTGTCATTGGCAATGTTGTTCCGGGCAACTATAGTCCAATAAACAGATTTTTGGAAACTCTGAACATGTTCCTATGTTCTCATTACCTATACGGTTAGCCAACTATTAAATAATAATTTAGGAGCTTTTCCATTTTCATTCCACAGCATGCGTCAATTAAATATGTAACAAGGCAATTGAAAGCTGACTTAACACTGCATTCTGGACGTAACTGCCAATGCATGGGTTTCCTGAACTCTCTGAAATTCATCAGCAAAGGCGAGAGTATGCTGGGCATTGACGGACTGTATGACTGACATGGTGGGAAGCTCTTAAAATACTAAAATAGCACAGTCACTTCTTTGCTTAGATTGAAAGATTTTGCTTTTGGGACTTGCTCCAACAGAGTGTTTTCATTGCTTTAAAAGTTCATTTCTGCTATCTTGATCTAAGCTCATCTTGTCCTATATTTCCCTGCCGTTAGCCTTTGGAGCAACTTAGAACCAAGTCCGCTTTGTTCAAAGGATATATTCTTCTACATGCTGCAAACAAGATTTCTCTTCTGGCCATCAAAGCCTACAGTATAATCTCCAGAATGTTTCCACCAGGACGGCAGCCTTCCTACACCATGTCTTAATCATTTTGCTTGCTCCATCGTCACCCCTTAATAAGCAAAGAAGGAATTCTGATGCGTGCTAGAGTATCTTTAGATTGAAAGTCTTTAACACAATGCTGGTCAGCACTCTGCACTCTTGCCAAGTTGGGAAATATTGAAGGAGAATCACATAATGCTTTTTGAGTTAAAATGTCATGGAAAACCATGACATCTGCTGCCAGCCCAGAAGGATAAAAGTTCAGCTCAATGTGTCTTGTCAAGTTAAAACATTTGCTGAAGTGGATAAAACATGGCAATGGATTTAATATACAAACTGCTGAGCTCAGCTTACTGTTTGCTATTAATAATGTACTCTCCTTCTTCAATTTCAGTATAATTTCATAATACAGCTCTGTAAAGTAGTAGAAAAGGAGTCGGGATGGGAGGGGGTGTTGTACTTAGTACAGCCAAAAAAAAAATCCTTAAATTAAAAGGTTATAAAAATGTTTGAAAGATAGATTGAGCAGTGGAAAAGAGATCACTTCCCTGAACAAATATAAATCCGGCCAACAAATTATATAGCTAAAATATAACAAGAGGAAGAAAACTTTGATAAATCAGCTACTACACATGGCACCTACAGGTTGCTAAATAAGAGTGTGTCTGGTCAACATTTCTAAGTTTGTACTATTCTTTCACCGAGTCTTGTTTTGATATATTTGCGATTGGGGTGAAGCAAATTTTCTTACAAAAGGAGGAAAGCAGAGCAGAGACAAGGAAAAAAAAATGGATTTGTAAACCGCGATAAGAAATAGGGGGCAACAAGTTCAAGGAAAGATTTATATATGGAAGGGACTTCTGAACGGAAGGCTTTAGGGAAATTGAAATCAATGTAGATGAGCAAAAAGAACACAGCTTCGTGTGCAGGGTATGGATGGCAGAACATTGGTAGAGTTGTGGGTTGTGTAGAATAATTGAAGCAATTTCGGAACATGATGGGTGGTGACTTATTCTTGTGGCTTGTGAAACATTCATGGAAAGGATAGATTAAAAAAAACAAATGAAACACTTCAGCAGGAGTGAGGAGGAGGCAGGGTGAGGAGTACACATTCCCATTCAATCTCTCTCCCTTCCTGTCTACATGACTTAAATCTTTAGTCTTCTCCTCCTAATGAATCATTCCTCTAGCACACCAACATTTACAATCCCTGATTTCAAACACAAGGTTTCATTGTAAAAACTGCTGAAGAACATGGCCAATTATTTAGCGAATTAATATTCTGACCGGAATTAATTTAAAAACAATGCCAGTAATTACCTGTTTGGAAAGATCTTTAATATGAGTGATACTTCCTCGACAGTATGACTCCAAAATCAACCCAAATTGCAGAGAAGTGGCAGGTAGATGCATTTCAGACCTGGAAACAATAGGTAGATGCGTATTATAAACTCATTCTGTATACCCTCTGTGTGAAAAAGTTGCCCCGTAGGTCCCTTTTAAATCTTTCCCCTCTCACCCTAAACCTATTTCCTCTTGCTTTGAACTCCCCTACCCTGGGGGAAAAAAAGACCTTGGCTATTCACCCCATCCATGTCCCTCACGGTTTTATAAGCCTCTGTAAGGTCACCCCTCAGCCTCTGACGCTCTGGGGAAAAAGCCCCAGCCTATTCAGCCTCCCCTTATAACTCAAACTCTCCATCCCAGCAACATCTTTGTAAATCTTTTCTGAACCCTTTCAAGTGGAACAACATCTTTCCTAAAGCAGGGAGACCAGAACTGAATGCAGTATTCTAAAAATGACCTCACCAATGTCCCATACAGCTGTGACATGACATTCCAACTCCTAAACTCAATGCACTGACCAATGAAGGCAAGCGTGCCAAATGCCTTCTTCACCACCCTATGTAAAGTAACTCCAGAGGCCACTATCCCATCACCAAGTCACCCTTTATTTAAAAGTGGAGCATTCTTGACACTGAGCCAGCTGTGTTAGGATGTCTGACATTTTTATTTTTATCTGTCAGCCAGAGCTCTCTGATTGGACCAGATTAACTGCCCTAATCAGGAACTCGTATTCAATGGAGGTCCACCTGGTTGACTTCTTTACAATTGCTACATTCCGCTCCCTTGGAGTCTGAGGGCAGAGGCCAGCTCTTGACCAGTTGGTCTGATGGGTCTGTTTCCGTGCTGTATAACTCTATGACTCTTTAACTAATCAACATTCACTTTAGAGTCACATGTGCTCAAACCACATCCTATCCACTATGTGTGACAACCTCAATATGTAACATTAGCCAAATATAACTCTATACATCTAAATATCACGATGAGGCGAGAGATAGCAGTAGGGATGAGAAGCAGGTAGGCTGAGGGGAACACATCCCCATGCAATCAGTCTCCCTTCCCAACTACAGGGATTTCCCCTTTAGTCTTATCTTCCTAATGAATCACACCTTCTGATGAACCAATGTTTACAATGCTGATTCCAGGCAGGAATTTTAAAGTCAAAACAGCTGAATCCCATGGCCAATTATTTGCTGAATGAATATTTCTGAACCACAAGTTGAGTCAGCCTTTTAGTTTGATGTTCCGAATGGTTCATTACTTCAAGTACTATGCACTCAACTCCACAAAACCCTCTTGTCAGGTTATTCTTTTAAATTACAGTGAACTCCCCTCTCTCCTGCAAACCAGAATGTAGGAAATTTTCTCAATGCAATGACTATATAATGACATTTGAAATCTATTCAAAAGTAACAATTTGACAATTATACTGCACTTGGGCCCAATGTAAATCTTTCTATATTTAGGTATCATTTCATGAAATGCTTTTGTCAGAGAACTCTACAATCCAATAAATATAGGCAATTTTTGAAAACTCTGAACATGTTCTCGAAGTTCTCATTACACATGCGGTTAGCCAATTATTAGATTGGGGTCTACGAATTATTCGTCCTTTGATTAAGTGCATCTCCATTCACTGCCGTTCTCTTTGCCCTCAGTTCTCTGCGGCATGTTTTATACTTTTAAACCATAATATCACACAATAAGTTTCCATACTGAAACATGCAGTAAAATTGGCTTCAACTACACAATGAAATCATAAGTTGCAAGAAACTTCTACGTCAAAACTTGCAAAGGCAGGCACTGAATAGAATATTAGAGTCTTATCTTTATTCATGAACAATGTTGTATTTAATGAGATATAAATTGCCTACTGTGCACTCAACCACACTGAACCCCTCTTTCAGCTTGTCTATGCTTTCTAATCAATCTGTTCAGAGGTGTTATTACACATTTCTGGAGCAGGTGTGACTCAAAGCTAGGCCTCCTAGCTCAGAGATGGGAACACTACAAGACCACCATAAGAGCCCACACTCTGAGCCCAGAAAGTATTTCCTAGTCAGTCAGGTCAGAGATACTATGACATAGCTCCAGAGCAGGTGGAATTTGAATCCACATCTCTATTCCAGAGGCAGGATCATTACCACTGTGCCTCAAGAGGCCACACACTATGAAGGGAACTCCTATGCAATCAATGTAAAATTAGTCATTTATGTGGGATGAGGCTCCTTCATAGCTCTTCCTGAGGTTAATGCTGCAATTAAAAAGAACAGCTTGAGTTTGCTTGCTTTCAATAATACTCTACTGCATACATCAGTTGTATTTGAGCTTCATACAATGCATAAGGATATTAATAAACAATGTGGGAGTATAATTATTTTTCACCAACTTGCAATGACACACCTCTAAGGCAAGTGTGACTCGAAACTGGACTTTCTGGCCCAGAGGAAGGGACGCTACCACTGGACCACAAACCTCTCAAGGGTGGGATTATACACTTGGCATAAAACTTCATGCCCTGCTCCTGACAACTTACACTGATCTTAAATTGTTTATCCAAAAGTGATCCATTCTTGTTTTTATCTGTAATTTATTGTCCAATATGGCATCAAAATTAACAGCAGTTCTTTACAAATTTCCTGGTCCACAAAAACCAAAACAGAAAAACATTGGGAGTTAGGTGAAAAGATGGCCAAGTCACATGAGTTACACACTGGCTGGAATGTCAGGGATCAGAAGTTATCACATGACCTGATGCCAGAGTTTGAGATTTAGTCATTGTTTGCTGTTTTATCTACTGAAGAGGCAATTGAGCCATCACTGCAGTGTTAAATGAAGCTGGGTTCACCATTAGGAAAATAATTTAGTGCAAGCATTTTTCTGTAAACCTCTACACTCACTATGTATTGTGTAATTTGCAGCTTAAGTACTGCACTTGTGCTTGTAAAGTCAAAAATCCACAATATAAATGTAGGTTCTGAGTGATGACTGTCGGGTCTCAACAAACTACATGCCACATGCATATTTTAAAATAAAACCAGGACACCGATGACTTGCCAACTCTTAGCAAATGTGTCTATTACATTTACATTTGTCAAATTTCAATAATATATGCAAATATTTTGATCCAACTTGCCTGAGATGCCAAAACAAGAAGTGACCTATTCTTCTGTTGGCTTGCGCTCGCTCCAAAAGAAATCTGGAAAGGGCACAGTCAAAGTATGGCTCATATTTCAGTACTTGCACCAGCTGTAGGAGATACTGAGAAAGCTCTTCATCACTAGCAGAGAAAAAACAATGGCAGTTTAAATTAAGTGGTTTGTTCAAGTGTTCACACTCTTCATTTGGTCCAGATACTTTCTGGTTTTAATTGTTTTAAGTACTGCAGTTGCTTCAATACAATATTTTTAAGCTACATAACATTTAGAAGTTAATTGCCAATTCAAAAACATGGTAAAATGTATGTTTAGTGCAAGACCAGTGTTTAAAATACGTATTAAAATCAACACAAGTTACGATGAATCGATTTTAAAAAAGCTGTCTTTTGTATTGTCTGCTTGTTACATTCAAATTGCATCTACTTCACACAGTTATGACACATCTTTGAGTACAAAATCCATGCAGAATTATCTGTATAATTTAGGAATGAGCTGCTGATCTGAATCCAAAGTGCAACAAACCAATCCTGTTGGAAGACTATTCACAACATTCTGCCTTAGCATCAGCACAACCTAACTTCACTCTGATCTGAAGCTGGATGTAAAAATATTCTAACAGTCTAACAGATTGCCTGAGCACTTCATAAATAAAAGAAAGTGGACACAGTCATGTGCATCTTTCCTAGCATTTAAAAGGTAACTGCTTGGAAAGCAGATCTTTGGGAGATGCACAAAATGAAGAATCCTTGAAGCTTGTTCCTGGCAGGAAGAATAAAAACAGGCTTTGTTGGATGTACTCTCCAGTTACAGTGCCAAACTCGGATTGATGCACTAATATGAGCACAGCGCTAAGCCAATCCAAAGCGAGTGTGATTGACATAACAGCTCAATTCTTTTGAATATTGCTTATGAACATGTAATAAGTGCAAGAACAAGCAGATGCAACTCTTTCAGTTAACTAGCTTTGATGCCATTGAGAATGTTTTCTCAATTCTCCTCTGCAAACTACTGACGGACAGTTTCAGTTTTTTTATTTAAATTTCCGTGACACAGTTGGCAAGGCTGGCAATTATTGCCCATCACTAGTGACATAGAGTGTGATGGCGGGCCTTCCAGTTTTACCAGTCATTTAATTCAAAAACTGAGTGACATGTTAGGCCACTTCGGAGAGCAATTAAGAGTCAACCATGCACCACGAGTCTACATTCACTCAGAAACCAGACTGGCTGGGGGGCAGCAGGTTTCCTTCTCAAAAGGACATTTTAACGCTCCTACACCAACAGGTTACTTTGACTGTAAACCCTCTCTACATGCAACCTTGCTTAAAACTGAAGAAATGTCAAGTTGAAAACTAATTCAAAAGTAAATTTTAAGCTCAAAAGTACTGTACAAACTACGACTGGTGCTCTCGGTATGAATTACAAGTGATTGTTTACAAATCACCTTTCGACAGCAATATTTACATAATCATAACTGTACAGCATTGCATCAGACAGACCTCATTTCTTTCAAACATCCCACAGCATATTCCCGCACATATTGGTCTGGATAGTTGAAGTCCAGCAATTCTAATGCCTCCCTCGGTGCTATTTTGGTCCATATTTGGAGCAACGCTTGGAGCTGCACAAAAAGATCAAAAGTCAGGTCATAAAACCGTCAACATTATAACAGCAGTACTTGTCAACTCCTAAATCTGATATACAAAATTTCAACAGATTATCCTGCAAACAAAACAGGGATTACCATACAATACAAACAGTAGTACAAATTACATCGAACAACAGATGAAAATACGGAAAGTTTAACATTTCAGCTGAGACTTTAGAAAACTAATCCCAAAGTATGGCCATCTTTCATTTTCTGTTGATAATGGCCTTACCATGAATTCCAGCTTTAGCTAATTTTTCTTTCAATCTTAAAAAACATTGGACAACACATGTGGTTGGTATAAATGGTCACCTTGCAAAAGTAAAAGACTTACCAATTGAAAAGGAAGGTCAAGATTGGAACTGCAGTGACTGGCAGCAGGATGCATGGTTTGAATGTGCAATTGGGAGATTTTGTTTTAGGCCGTAGTCCCTTTAAAAGGATCCTCTGTTAGGTTGCACAGAGATCTGTTTCTTGAATTCAGGTGGCACTAGCTGCCTCAGGGCAAACCAATGTACAGAGGTGGCCTCAAATGTGGATTAGGCTCTGTCTAAACATAAGGAAGAGGCCTAATATCTGTCTCAGCAGTGAACTCTTGAAAACGAGCATCACCTTTTTCTCCCGTACTGACTCCTCATTTCTAGTCTACTGATTGCATGCAATTGCTCTGAGCAATTTGGATGCCCTATTTCCTGCATTAAAACATGGACTACACCTCAGAAGTACATAATTGGCTGCACATCACTTCTCGATGTCCTGAGTTCAGAAAGGTGTTATTTAAATGCAAGTTTCTTCAACAGAGCAATTCTCAAGTCTCTGTCAGATACGCACTCGGCTTTGACGACATATTTTGTGACTTCTACACAGAGAACCTATTAAGAAACAGTCTCTTCCCCTTTTGCAAATCACTTTTTGGATGAGTCCCAAATGCAGCTCCGTACAGGGGTGGTCTACTATACCATTGTAAAGATTAAAATCAAATTTTACTTCTCTGTCATAACCGAGTTACAACACTAAGACAAAATGTGTTTCACTGTCAGTAAAATTAAGTGTGCGTGTGTGTAGTACATAGATAACTGATCTAAATCAGCCCTGTACAAAAAGTAACCACTTCACAGTCCAATGTGCAGATCCTTACACGCTGTATGCAATATGTACACTAATTTTTTCCAAATACATTCTAAATTGAACAGGAGTCTGCGAGTCGAGACTATGTGATTTAATATCTTACTCTCTATTAATGACAGAAGGAGGCCAACTGATCTGTTATCGTACCTTTTTAATTAGACGACAAGCTTCGTTTTTACAAGTTGCAGCTGAGACTGTCTCTCACACAGATTGACGTAAATGAGTTAAGTGAATGAATTAAACAAACAGATATTGTTCCAGGGTTAAAACAGATAATCATCATTGCCACACAAACCTCTTGTACAAATAGGCCAGTCAGCCTGACACTGAGCTATCCCCCAGAAATACATCTTTGGGAAATATTACAATTTCTCTAAATGAAGGTACTGTAAATTGTACAAGCGGGAAATCAGTATACTAACAACACAAAATGACAAAACTTCTATGGGGATCATGTCAACTACTTTATCCCCATTGTTGGTCCCAGCAGAGGCCCTTCCTTCTCAGTCCTGAACATGTAGGAACTCTTTCTCTTAAGCCACTAATATTATTGCAATACTCAATATCTCAGCCAGGAAGCAGGTCACTGCCATCCAAATTGACTTAATCATCATCATATTTTTAAACTTTTCAGTATAGATGTCTTTCTGACCACAAGTAAAATGAACAGGGACACTGTGGGTGGGGGGGATTGGACTGACATAATCAGATCAAAATCTAACCTCAGAGAACAAATCATAAGGTAAAGCATAAAAAGGTTTACAAATGGCAGCTGAATCTGAAGATCACAATGCTTGTCCACAATCACTCCTCAGCTATTTATAACTTATAGACTAGATTTTTGTAACTGACGTTTACATAAAGCTTACTATTGACAGACCCCAGCAGAAGCTACAGGAGGCAAGAATTGTTTTGGGCACTGAGACACTGTGGTACCATCGAATTTGATTATGACTGGGAATGACAAACAGGAGCTTTTTGTTTTGCAGTATCACTGCAGAGTTTGCATTTTTGCATGCTCCTTTGGCACGTAGAAAGCCAGAAGAGCACAAAATGATAATATCAGAAGGAAGGCCATTATAACATGGTGATTGCAAACAGGACAGAATAAAATAAAAATAGTGAGTTTTATTTCTTGAATTCTCTATTTATGGGGAATTTAAAAAAGTTAGAACCATTCCGGTTTATTAACATTAAATCTGAGAAGTGTATTTTTTTTTAAAAAAAAATCCCATTTTCATAATGTTCCAAATAAAGAAGAGGAACCTAAATCTATTCAAATTTTCACTGAAGTTCATGATTTGAACTATTTACAGCACAGCTTATAGTTCAGTTGGTAAGTATACCTTGTGAACTAAACCACAGAGAACAGAAAGATCTCAGTTTGGTTCCAGAGTTATTCTATGCTCATTGTCAGTCAGAACAGTAACACCGTACTTGACTGCAATGGCCTGGAGCTCAGGGGAGGCAAAAAGAAAAACAAAGACAGATCCAACTGCTCTTCATTATACAGAGACTAACCAGGCAGGTGAGGCTGTATATTGTGGCAGGGGAATGGAGCAGCTAACTATTTTGTAAATGGAGAAAGACTGCAGAAAGCTGAGAAGGAGGCTTTAGGAGTCTTCATTCATGGATCACAAAAAGCTAGCATCCAAGTTGAGCAGGTAATAGGGAAGACAAATGGAATGCTGGCCATTATTTCAAATGAGAATGAAACATAAAAGTAGTGAAGTTTTGCTAAGACTGTACAAGACATTAGTCAGACCACAGCTGGAATACTGTGAACAATTTTGGGCCCCAAATCTTAAAAAAAAAATGCTGGCATTGGAAGCAGTCCAGAGAGATTCACAAAGCTGATACCAGGTATGGATGGACAGCAAAATAAAGGAGAGGTTGAGTAGACGGGCCTGTGGTCTTTGGAAAATAGAAGAATGAGAAATGAGCAGATCAAAACATACAAGATTTGTCGTGGATGTGACAGGGTAGATGCAGAAACGTTGTTTCCCCGTGTGCCCTCTGGTCCTAGATTCTCCCATAATCTCAGAACAAGAGGTTGTATATTTAAATAGAGATGAGGAGGAATTTGATGAGAAGAGGGTTGTGAATCTGTGGAATTCTTTATCACAGAGAGCAGATGAGGCTGGATCATTAAGTACATTCAAAGCTGAGATAGGCAGATTTTTAATCAGTGAGGGAATCAAAGGTTATGTGGAAAAGGCAGGAGAGTGAAGTTAAAGATTCTCAGATCAGCCATGATTTCATTGAATGGCACAGCATACTCCTCTGCCTTATAGTCTTATGGACAGTGCAGGTGCCAGGTGAATTGACTTTTAATGCCTACCCATGTTAAAATAGTCTGATTAAGCTCAGAGATGGTATTATTGGCTGGATTTGGTGCTCAATGGCAAACAACCACCCAATCTCCCAACCCTGCTGACCTAAACAAAAAAAAAGACCGACAAAAAAGAACAAGTGACCTCTGTGGGGATCTTCTCTTTCCTGATACTTGTTTGAATCTGGCACCAAGTCAAAATGATCTCCAGACATCAAAAAACACGATGTTATCAAGCAAGGTAAATAGCCAATCACAGTAGTGATCTCAACAGATAGCAAACCTCAAAGTAAAATGCACTGATTATCATGCACTCAACAAAATAAAGATTAGGACATACATATTAGAAGCTGCAATATCAAACAATTCTTTACAAATTTATCTTCTAACAATGTGGACTTTTTAAATTAAAATTTGGCATTACAAAACTATAATATTAGGTTCCCAGGTTCATAAATATTCTTAAGGTTAGTACATGGCAAAATTATGAACTTAATATACTATTAAAAACAATTACATCTCATCAATAAGATAGTTTTTCTTAGATGCTTTCAATATTACAGCATAAAATCACAAGATAATGTCAATTCCCTGATTTTTGAACATTTACCATCTGCAAAGACTTCAACAACAAGCTCAATGGAGAAACAGATTTGCATGTTTAACTGCCCGTGCAAAGACTTCCAAAGTTGCTGTCTGTTTAAGAGGAGGAATGACAATGAATGCTGGTAGTTTTGGCCTTATGTTGGGATGGGTGGAGGAGAGATAGGGGTGAAGTGGTAATGCCACTGGATGAGTAAACTCGACGCCCAGGACAATGGTCTGGAGACAAGGGTCTAAATCCTGCCTTGGCAGCTGGTGGAATTTAAATGACTAACATAAATAAAGTCTGAAATTGAAACTTATGAAACCGCCATCACCATACTTAAAAAAGTCAATCTTTTCCAGTGAAGGGGGTTTGCTGGTCTGTACTACAATTTCTCTGATTCATTTACAGCAAGTGAATAGCACTGACAGTGCCAGGATTTATTGCCCATGCCTAAACACCTTTGAGAAGGTAGTGGTGAGCAGGCATTATTAACCACTGCAATCCTTGATGCAATGTTAGGGAGGAAAGTTCAGGATTTTGACTCAGCAACATTGGGTTGGAACGGTGAGGCAATTCCAAGTTGGATGGTGTGTGGCTTGCGGCATTCGCAAGTTTGTAAGTTGTTGTCTGAGAAGCAGTGAGTTGCTGCAGTGTAAGTTGTAGATGGTACACACTGCTGGAGGGAGTGAACTTTGAAAATGTTAGATATGTTGCCAAATCAAGCAGGCTGCTTTAACCAAGACGGCGTTGAGCTTCCTGAGTGCTGTTGAAGATGCAGGCAAATGGACAGTATTCCACCACACTCTTGACTTGAAGCTTGTAGACGTTGGATGGGCTTTGAGGAGTCAGGGGGTGAATTACTCACAGCTGAATGACATGTTCTTGTAGGCATAGTATTTATATGGTTAGCCTGGTCAACACAAA